GAAAATAGAGATTTTTTTTTAAATTCTTTTTTGTTATTATTTTTCTTGTATACCTATACAAACAAAGATTATACAAGAGAAAGAAAACATACATGAACAAATTTTATACATAATTATATTTAAAAAAAAATTGTTTCGGGTTACATTTACGTTTAGTTTAGTTTAATTTGCGCAAAATAGAGATTCGAGACGGTACCTTTCCGTCTCTGATTACGTGCAATCGCACATGTACAAAATAACCTTATATAGGCTTACCATTATCTGTACTATTATTTGTACTTTGATTGGTGTGGTACACCAACCTACCTTAATCCTCTTCGTCTTCTTTCTTCCGGCCAGAGTGGACTCACCTTTTGTAATACCTGGCCGTATCATGCCTCGTATAGCCAGAGATTGATAACAAGAAGAAATACTCCTGCTGCCGGCTAATCATCGCCGGCAATAAGCGTAAGAATTTACGCTTTTGTATAATCCGCGAAACACGAACACGTCGCGAAGGGCCCGTTATATTAATTAAATCAATTAAGTACAAAATTAAAAATAAACAATAACAATAATAATTTTTTTAAAACATAAATTAATTTAACATTTAGTCTTTGCGCGCGTTTATTCGTAGCAATTAAGATATAATATTCAATCATTAAAATATATATCCAATAAAAAACAAATTTGAATTTAAAAAAATCTTTATGTCGACAGTTTTAATTCGAAGAGATTCGATTATGACTATGAACTTTATATTAAACTTTATATTATTTTAAATACTAACTTTATAATATGAATAAACTTTAATTTAAAACTAAATAAGCGAAAAATGCTAGACGCGCCATTCAATAGAATCTAAGGCCCATATACGTGTATTCATCGATTCGAACGATTTGTTACTAAATCTCATCTCAAAAGCATGTAGATGAAAAATTCAGATGAATGACGCAAGATCCGGAAAGGATAATAAATTTTTCACACAATTAGAATTGATAAAAATATCTCGTTGTACTGTGCTAATTATTAAAATTATTTTTTGTATAATATGTTATTTTAAAATTATTTTCAAATAATGTAAAACTGTTCGATTCTAAAATAATTACTTAGATAATTAACTAGAAAAAAATCTTCTATTTTATAGCAATAAATATATATGGGATCTTACGTCATATTATTATTTCAATTGGTAAAATCCAGTTATCAATTACCTCAACAGACATATTAATTTATCACTCACCGACCCCGATGCGCAACAGCGGAATTACATCTGCCACGTAGCTACGTTGTATCTGTAATATACGAACATAAAATTCATATTAAAATGGTGTTCAAAAAACCTAATGTTTTGAAACATAATTTCTATGTGCATCAAACTTTTTATTATTCAATTAAATATTAATTTAAATAATGAAACATTTCATGAAAAGGATCTTTACAAGAATAAATTTCTACAATATTAAATTACTTCCTTTCTTCTAATTATTATTTCTAAATTATTGTGAAATAAAGCGAATCAAGAATAAACAAGAAAAAAGTTGCTTTTACACAAATAAATAATATTTACCGCAAAGTTGTTCCGCTCGTGCCCGATACCTCTCCCAGGCCTGCTCCTCCTCTCAGGCTATCCTCTCGGATTATCAGCTCCCTCGATGCGAAGCTGATGCTTCTTCGCGCGTTGATATTTTCTGTAACATAAAAATTATCGAATCGATTAAATAATTGTCACGCGCATTGAACATTTTATTCGTTATTCAGATTAATTCACATTCAAATTACTTCTTCGCAAAAAGGTCTCTACGTTAGAATCAACTTGAATCAAATTTTTCAAATTATTTCTTTTTACTAATTTATATTTTAAAACACGGTTTAATGTAGCAACTGAATAAGCACAAACGAAAAGAGAGATTCTATAATATCTTTAAAAAAAAATAAAAAGTAACAATTACCAGAAGTGTTGATACGCCGATGCCCGATGCCTATCCTAGGCCTCCTCCTTCTCTCAGGCTGCTCGGGATATCAGCTTCGCAGGATTCTCTCGCTGCTCCGAAGTCGCCTTCTGCGTCGTTATTTTCTGAAATATTTAAATGAACGATTCGATTAAGTAAAGACAGAA